TGGTTTTGAAGATAAGGATGAATCATGTTCGTCACAGAAGATGACAGTAGAATCAGATTTATAAAAAAGGAAAAAAATCATGCATACTGAAGTGAGTGAAGGAACAGAAAGAAGAAAGAAGAAGTTTGGGACTTATAAATGCAGTGTAAAACAAGGTAAGAGACACAGGCTATAGTGTACCTGAATTATAGTATCTTCTTTTTATGTGGAGGTGACAACAAGGAGCCTTTTCTAAATTGCTCTCCTACTACCACATAGTGTGAGCAGGAAAGTAACACATTTCTACCTCTACAGATGTTAAATTATCCTAGAAATAAAACACTTTGGAGACTTTTTTTTCCTTAGAAAGGGTGAAGATCAAGTGAGACAGCAATTAAACAAACAAGTGAGAGAGGAAGTTTGCCTGTATACATCATGAGCACAAAGATATCCTTGATAATTCTATATATGTGAGTCCTGATCTAGGAGATCTGTAATAGAGACAGCTACACTGCATGTTAACATGAGAAAAGAAAAAGACAGACAAAGCAAGTGGGTACAGAACAGAAAATTTGTGATCCTGCTAAAAGTGTTATGAGATTTTTCATGGACAGCACTGAGTACCTCAGAGGAATGATATCAGGATTAGCTCTTCCTTGCACAACTATTTGAAAATAGATTCAAATCAATACACACGTGATAAGTATTTGTTGTTATTACCTCTTGAATTCTCCAAGGTTTTTTTTTTTTTTGAGGAGGTAATTCATTGTGACGCATGAAATAGTCCTATGGGAACTGCTGGCCTAGTGTAGAATAAAACTAGCAAATGAAGTGTCAAGACTTTATACTGCTGTTTATTTTATACATTTAAAGTACACTATCCTCCTCAGTATCGTTCGTTGAAAGAACTGCATCAATTTGCTATATTTTAAAAGTACTTATGAAGAGTAAAGCTGTCAGAACAACTGTAGCACTTACAAATACTACATGTAATTTAAGGATTGAATGCCTAATTTGAAAATTTAACAAGAATTTTTCTAAATATTAAATATTGCAAGCATTAATGCTATGTCAGCATCCTCATTTCTGAGGCAGAAATACCCTTCTCCTTCCTCTGAATCTCTTTCTTGACTTTGCAAAGCCTAAAGCCTGTTGCCACACATTTGTCGTCTCCCACACTTAGCGGAAAAACTTCTTACATCTGTAACACCGAGTGGAAAAATAAGTCATCTCCAACTTTTGAGGCTGTATGTTCACAGAAGATTGCTGGAGTTTTATCTTGACAGAAATACACCTTCTCCCTTCACCTCTGTTCCTTCCAGGCCTCAGGCTTGTACGCCTACTCAGAAGGCAGTGGCTTCAGAAAGAGAGAGATGTGTCTTTATATTTTTTTAGTTTTATATAAAATAACGTGTTCAAAAGGGATATTTCTTTGTCCTCACACTTTATCAGTTTATTTAGATTATAAGCTTTTTGGAGGCAGGACCACTTCCTTACTGTATGCGTATAGAATAGCTAACAAAAGTAGCCTTGATTCTGGTTACGACTTCTAGACTCTACTACAATAGAAAATAGGTAGCAACTCCCATTCCTTTCCTGGCTGGTTATGAGAGAAGGAGAAGTTGTCCAGAAAAAAAAGGACTGTAAAAAGCTTCTTTGGTGAGGAAAAAAAATGCTATCTGTATGCCTCCATGAATTGAAAGAGTATAAGGTAACGTGAACTAACTGTGTGCATAATGAATCCAGCTAAAATGTATATATTACTAAACCCCATAAATAATATTTTCCACCAATTTTAATGTGACACATTTAAAGGAAATAAGTATGAAATAACTTCTTCAGTTTATGTTATAATTTTTTTCAAGCTTCAAAAATCATAAATGCATTATAAGTTCTTATAATAACAATGCTTATCTATGACAAGAAAATTAGTTTCTGGTTCCTGGAGTTTACTAAGTTCTTTTTAGACAGAATGAGTCTATAAGAAGAGCATATGTTTAAAATTGCAATATTAAAGGTTCGTATTCAAATATTCAAATGATTTGGTACTTCAACTCAATCTTGATGTCATTTAAATCTTTTAAATATCTAGTTACCCATTTATCAATATAAACGAAGACTACATCTCTGTACTATAAAAAGGAAAAGAGAGGAATGAGAGAAGAGAAAGAGGAAAGTGACCCACATTTACATTCTCTTTGTCCTACATCATATCTGTGTTCTGCCTTTGTGACTTCCTTACTGTTTTTCACTAATCATAAATTAAAAACAATGAGATATCAGTTAGGCAATAGGCAGGCCATTGAAGTGTCTAATACATGTCATTTTGCTGTGATTCTTAAATTGCTGTGTGGAAAATGTCCAACTCAATCAGTTCTTTTTCTACCTGCCTGATTCTCCTGCAGCTGAGGTCTGTTTTTCTGTTTGAAGATATGGTCATGTTACACTGATAAGCTCGTGCTTTATAATGCATACAAGCAGCACATAATAGTGAACAAGTGAAAATCTGGACAAGGATCTGTTATATATCAGAAGGAGCGAAGTAATATTGTACAGATGTACAGCGATTCTTGAGCTTGACTTCTGAGTGAGATTGCAGTGGTTTGCAGCTCTCAAGCTCAGAAAGGATTGGATTTGAACAAATCTAAATTTCGGTCTTGTCCACACTGCAAGTGTGATTTTCTTCTTTTTGTATTGGTTAATTTAGGACTACCAACGTGTGTTGCTATATCAAAAATCAATTTTGACTGACTTTCCATGACATAATTGACAAAATCCAAACTAGGTCTAAGCACAGCTTGAAGAGGGGTCAGATAACTTATCTGACTATCTGTATGCAGTCTGAAAAAAGTTGATATGCACATAAAAACCTCAGAACTAACAAGCTACAACTGAGTACTGAACAGACCGTAGTCAACTTCTAGGGCATGTCTGACATTCAGCTATGCTTTTCAAAGAGCAGTGAGCAACATCACCAGAGTAAATCCAGCATTTCAGTTTACAAATAAATCCCGTAGATTTTCTTCTTTTGGTAAGAAATATGAGCCAAGTTCAGCAGTGAATTCAGGATCTATACTAGCTTGTAATTGGTGTCATTCACCTGAAGCTAAAATTTCACCAGCTTAAATTGTGATGATGTTGATTTTTTAATGTTCTAATTCTAGTTTCTCATGTAAAATCACAAATGTTAAGATTTATGTAATAATAATATACATATATCATATATATTTGTACTTTCAAGGAAATGGGGGACTTTTGGTTACCAAAGTTCTGCTTGTATATCAGACAGATGCAAAAGATTTGCCCAAGCTCCTGTTTCATGCACTTTAAGTATAGGACTTCTGCTGGAATGCATTCAAAATGCATTTTAAGATGCATTTTAGATATTAAATGCATGCCAGCATCAATCCATAAAATCACTATAGGTACTAGCAAGACGTATATACCAGATATAATACTGAACAGTCTGGACTCATATGTTTGCTCAGTAGTGTCTTGGAAAAGGTTTGAGTGAAACAGCATTACACGGAAACTTCAATACGCTTAGTATGAGCTCATCATCCAAGAGTTTTGTAAAAGATGCAGTATAAAGAAACTATGAAGGCTAATTAGCTATCTTTTTGATATTCTGGAAAGATTACACTAAGTAAATTAATATGAAGAATATATCAGTATGGAGAAATATCTAATGTGGTGGAAGAGGGTAAAACAAAATATGTTATTCTTGCAATTCCTTTATCATTTAATACTTGCTTAATAGATTTAATCATTTTCTAAGACTATTTTACAGTCTGTCCATACCATAGGGTGTCATTATGGCCTAGATATAATATGTCCAATATTCCAAAGTATTTCTCTTTTTGAATATTTAATCTCCAACTTTTTTTTTCAAGGTTAAATGTTCAAAGGCACTCTCAGGAAATAAGTGTCCAAAAGTCTTTGCAGAGCTCACTCTTTTAATATCCCATTTAAATAAGCTATAACAAGGCTTGAAAATGTAGAGACTAGGCAGCAGCACAACAGCATCTCAGGCTGCATCCAAACTTAACTGCTAAGGCAGGCCTCAGCACACTCAGGGTCTCAATCCTGCAATTTTTTAAATAGGATCTGTGTAACCACATACTACAGTTTCTGTACGGTCAAATTTCTAGGATGCCTCTTCACTATCTAGTCCAGATGGACCTGAGGTGCTCACCTATGCTTGGAAACTTGGAGCTCACCCTAAGTCAGTAAATATAAGTAAATTCAGGGATTAACACCAGCCATAACTTCTTTTCTATCAGTATTGAACATTCAGAAATGCAATTTTGGTGATACCAGGTATCTCTGTTCACATGGTCTCTGCCTTTTATTCTACACTGGAAAGAGAAGTAAGAGATGCAGAACGATGTTCTAACTCAGAGAAGCTCTAACTTCTTTGTGCTTCAGTCCAATTGCTGGTGCTCACAGTTTCATGCTACCGAAGTGCATAAACAAAGGGTCTTTGTTAAGAAAACTGCTACAAATATGGTTCAGTGATGACTTCAGAAAAAAAAAAATAAGAAAAGCAGAAGAAAATCAAACAAGTAATAATGCCATCAACGCTTAGTGGGCTACACTACATTGGTTCCAATAGCTCTCTACGAAATTCAGCTACCACAAGTTAAAGCTCAGCTTTTCCCATAGTTCCACGACAAATTGGAAACAATTTCTCTGCTTCACTGCCAAACACTACCTTTCATGTTAAGCAAGTAACTCACAGGGACGCATTATTGTCCCTTTATTATCTTTTAATTGATTAAAATATTATGTTGAGGTCTATCTACAATATGCCAAATACGTATTAACGTGTGTTGTAATGAGATTTATATTCATACCATATTCATAGAAGTCCTATTATAGCAGTTCCATTCCTGTAAATCTTGGAAATATCACACAAACAACTTTTCCACACCACATGAAGAAATTCAGTGCTATTTCTTAATGGAAAACATGTCAAATCACTCTTAAAATGCATGAAAGAAACGGAATCATGGACTCACAATCTGTAATTTTCAGGACTCTTTTTACTTCACCACTTCCTGATCCTTCGCAGCCATCTTCATCATCACAATCTCCACTGATTTGTTCGTCTACACTTCCACCGCTTCCTGTTTGCCATAGATCCCACTTATCGTATTTAGGAAATGATTTGCCCTGCAACAGCTGAAGACAAGATATGTTGTGCAAGTTAGCAATACAAATGGGAGAACTTGAGTGAACACTTGAAATTTCATAAATGTCTCTCCTGGTACTTATCTGGTTTAAAAAGAAAACTTCAGGATGCATAGAAAGAGAATTCTGATTTTTTTCAGATATCTGAAGATTATTTGTTGCTTGTATTTCTAGCATTGATAATTTGCCAGTATTAGCTAAAAGAGTGGTACATGGAGATATTTACTTACTTTTCAATTAAAAATATACATATATAATTACTGTGTTTATACTACTAAATAAAAGAAGACCAAGCACTAATCCCTGGCCCAGAGACCAAGCACCGTGGATTGAGACACGTCCTGCTTAGGACTAGTCCCCTTTAGAGCAAACAGACTGCTATCCATGCTATATAACAATTGGCCCTGGATCTTTTCTATATATGCCACGTGAAAGACAACCTACCTAAGAGAAAAAAGTTCCTTTGTATAACTCTCCTATTATCTGTGCATAGTCTCATCCATGCCATACTACTGCCAACAGAGTACTTTGGAGAAAAAAACATAGCCAGTTTAATGAACTGCACCCAACTAAACAGAACCTTTTTCTTTTTTTGCCCTGTTCAAATCACAACACAGCCCAATAAACAAACTAAGCTAGGCTACTCTCTATCCCCGAGCTCAGTTGCATAAGTGTGGGAGTGAATCTCTAGTAAGGGAAGAGTATTTAAACAAATGTTTCTGCTAAAGTTTCCTTAATATGGAGCCATTTATATACAAATACATTTTTCCAGCTGGAGAACATGCATCCCCCTTTACATTCTATATATGTCTGCCTCAGTCTTAAAAACATAGTTGCTTAATAAGATCTTTATATTTTGCTTCTTCCCTAAATATTAGCCTAAAATAGTTATCTTTTCGTTCTTCTTTTCCTTTTTTTTTCCCCTTTCCACCTCTTGTGTAGTATTCTTTAATGATTAGAAGTCTGAAAACCCAGGAGCTCCCATTAAATCGCTTTAAATGTAGGTTCATCACTGAAAAACATTGTTCTTCAGCATTTTCCAAATTTTTTTTTTACTTGAAAGAGTAAATATTAAGAAATGAATAAACTCTTTTGTAGGTTGAGTTTTGTTATTTTTTTCAAGTCTCCTTAAATGTGCAAGAAAAAGACATACTATCTCCATATAAGTTCGCAAATCTTGGTGTTGATTCTTTACAAAGCATGGCTTAGCTCTAATATAAATTCTTCATTAAATTTACAGAATCTGTATACTTCATCAAAGCTGGATTGATTCAGACAAGAAATAAAGATAAAAGGTATTTTAAATGATTATTCTGCTCTGCTGTTGCAAATTTTATAAAGCCATTACCTAAGAGGAGACAAAACAAAGGTTATTCCTGGAGTTTTTTTGTTGCATACAAATTCCAGCTGGATAAAGAGGGTTATTATCTGGATACTGTGTGCCAGAAAAGCTAATACAAGAAATGCTCTTTCCTTAGTATTGCAGGATAAAACAATCTCTCTTTCATTCAGCTGTCCAAAAAGATTTTCAGTTACATAAAATTTATCTTCTTAAAAAAAAAGGTTGCAGGTTTAATCATGCTAAAACAACTGTTATCATTCTGTTTCAATGAAAATCGCAATAACATTATTGACAACCATGTTAGCTTTCCTAAGTTTTGGCAAGGGGTGCAGCTCAAGTGTTCAGGACTGTAGAAAATATGCTGGAAATCCAGGCTAGCTTTGCTAGATCTTTTCTTTAATTATACTGAAAGTTTGTTGAACAAATATTTCATCATCAAAAATATGTTTTCTTCTGGTGGCATTTTGTTTCTGCAGAAAATGTATGTCTTCTTACCACTAATGTATCTTTATTTAAGTTGAATACACATATGAATGATTTGATTAAAAGTGAATTGAAAGGTCCCCATAAGGATCCTATTCTGTTACCTGTCTACAAAACCTAGGGAAGCTGGGTCTCCTGCTTAAATCTGTCATTGCCTAAGTTCCTAAAAGAAGTTTGGAATTTTCACTGGTGGTCTATTTAAATGCTTTCTTTGATATAAACAGCAATTACGATAAAAAGGCTACAATACTAAAGAGTAACATTAATAAATTTTGTCAAATTTCACCTCTTAGGATGAAAGTACAGATTTGACTGATAAAAGTTACACCATTGTAATAAATTACTTATGGGATTCTGTAAATATATGACTTGATACTATGTAACATGTCAGTTAAAAAAACAAGACGTGTTTGCAGCAGCTACATAGACATCTATAAGGGGATTTGAAACCTCCTGACAAATCTCAAAGTGTAAGTATAATTAGGAAAATTATCACTAAGAACATGTGTTTCTTGTGCAGTGCTATTAGAACTTATAATTGTGTCCGGATTATTTAAGATTTTCATCGATGTCCTGGAAAGCAATATAAAACAGTCATAATAAACCTTCCACTGCTACAAGAATTGGAGAGCTACTAAGTAACAAAGAGCATAGACAAGCTGTCTAATAAGATACCTTATCTGGTAAGCCAGACAATAGAATTAATTTTTAAACATATATTGCAATAAAATACAGACAAATGTAAATTTGCAAGTCTAAACATTGCACTACATATGTATTAGAAGATAAAATATTCTGTTCTGTAAAATAAGACAGAGTGTCCTGGATAGCCAGCAGACTATAAATTATCAAAACTAGCATTCTGGCAAAAGGCTTTAATGGGAAATCTTTGGAGACAGAGATAGAAATACTATATTACGCCTAAGTCCAGTTCTTGCTGCCTCAGTTCAGAAAAGATGGAGTGCACAGAAGTGAGTTCTATTAGAATGGTTAAAAGGAGTAAGAATATACTCTTGTTTTGAACCAAGGGGTTCATCCTTTAGCGTACTGAAAAAATACCCTCAAGATATTATGTAACCAGCCCTGTAACCACTTGCATGGAAAACAGAGATTTGATAGATCTCTGTAACAGAAAAAGGCATGTAAAAAAACAAGTGAATTATAAATTTTGACTTACATATTTGGAGTTAATCACATAAATCCGTATCATCAATATTATGCGTTGAAACAAAAAACAAGTAGGATTGTTCTATATCAGAAATAATGTATTAATAATTGTGGTCAGGTTGTTCAAAAAAATGTATATGTTCTGGTTCAGTCACAGTTTTTAGTCTTAAAGCAGGAATTAATTTATAGGTTCAAGGCCATCATATGCAGGAGGTCAGACTAAATGATCAAAATGATCCCTTCTGGCTCTAAAAAATCTATGAATCCACATAAGTGAATCTGGTTTAAATGAGAAGACTGGGTTCTTTTTGACTTTCTTACGCTTGCAGAAAGTTACAAATGATTTTATCCCTCATAAGTGATGAACACTGAAAGGTAAAAGAACTTATGTTTACGCTGTTAAAATGGATGTGATATTAGTTCCCTTTCAACAAAAATCTAGTATCCCTTTTACTTATCTTATGCTTCATACACCTTCAGGGGAAACATAGATTTTTTTACAACTTCTATTTTATTATTTTTCAAAAAAAATGTCTTCATGATCCTCTGTTACAGTTAATGTGAACTAAGCTTAGAGTCATAATATTTCCTCTCTTTCATTTATGTGCATATTATAAATGCTTGTGGAGGGACTCCCAAAGGAGCAGCGAATCCAATTTACCTAATCAAATCAAACTTTCAAGAATCACAACTAGGAGTACCACTATTTTGAATCCTTTCCCACCAGAAGAATAAACTATGCTAAAATTTGTTCCTTTGCCTAGCATTACATACCTGAATACGTAAAAGCACATCATTTCACTTTAGTGATCCTCATTAAAAAAACACTTAGACTACTCATGCCTCTCTAGGCCAGCCTCCTGCAGGGTTTCAACACCAATAATGCATCACATCCTTCAACAAAAATATGTAGTCTAAATTACAATTCCAGCTTATATTGAAGATTGATATTCAGATAACTAGTATTACAACTCTTCTAGGGCCTCATGATAGCCTTTTCTATTTTTTAAATAAAAAGTTAAAGTTTTGTGCAAAGTATATCAGTGACTTTTTTCTCTTCTGCTTTTTCACTCAATTTTTCAAAGGGAAAATGAGATTTCTTGATGTAGAAAGTACAAGCTATACACAAGTGATGTATCAAACTCACTGCTTTCTCGCACTGGTCTATGGCTAAAACTCTGGATTTTAAACCTGCAGGTTCATTCCATTCCATAAAATCACCAGCAATTTCAAATTTGGAGGGAAGGGAAACAACTCTTCTCTTCATACTAAGTCAGGCCATCTGAACATAAAAAGAAATAGGCATTTGCTCTGAATATAATCAAGAATCGATGAAGTGGTTATGAGCCCGCACTGCACCACACAGTTCTGTCTTACCCTTTGTGGTTCCTTGATATAGCTTTATTATCACAAGACCAGAACAGTTGCTGCTAGTACAGTAGGAAGAGGAATAACTCCAGCTTCATTTGTCAGGCTATCAGTTGTTAACTTCTACTCCACAATCAAGAAATTTATTCTCAGTAGTAATTTATGCAGCATTCAAAACCACTTAACATGCAAACAAAATTTTCATGGAAAGCTAACTAATGAATCAGGTAAAAATGACTAATAATTTTCTCTGAAGTTCAACGGAGCCAGGATGTGAGCCCAAACACTGGCATACACTTGTTCATATCGTGAATCATCAGCATGCTTCACTGGCCATCACAGATTTGAGCTGGCCCACACAGCACTCTCCTTGACCCCCATTTGAACATTAGCATGGGCTATAGCTGCTCTACTCTGAGAAGCAGACTAGTTACAGACCCTGACCCCATTTCATTTCCTACAAGACAGACAACTTTTGGGGATGTCCATAGTGCTAAATAAAAGACGGCCAGGGAATAAGCTTCAGCAGTAGACACTGAATATCTGCGTTTCTCAATCTCTGTACCTATATCTCTAAACCTATATCTCAATATCTGTTTTAGATTACTTCAATCAGCTTTCCCTAAGGCAA